CAGAAAATTGATATGTTACTTATACGTAAATGGACAACATTACCTTTAGAGAAGAAGAAAGAATATAAACTCAAAGCTGAGCAGATAAATAAACAGTAATAAATAATTAATCTATTGATTTATTATTATATTTAATTAATTATTCTTAACAATTGAGACTTGTAGAAGATAAAAATTAATTAATTTTTTTAAATAAAAATGAAATTTATACTTTTATCTTTAAATCATTTCAAACAAATAGATGATGATAATAAATTAAATGCAAAAATACTGCTGAAATTCTTCATATACATCTAGTTATTAAATGAAATGATCCTTCTCAATTAAAAGAATGCAAAAAATAAAGCTGGTTATAAAATTAAATGATTTAGCTAATATTTAAATCATTTAATTATCCTAGTTACAACCCAGTGAGTTTTGTTGATATTTGATATTTATTATATAATTATAATTTATGTATTGACAATTAAGTTAGTTGCAACAAAATAAAATTGTAAGAATTGTCATGAAAAAAAGATACAAATTTAGTTTACAAAGAATTACAAAAAGAAATACAGTCGACCCCCCCTATAACGTGGTAGATATGTTCCACTTTATAAGAATTTTGCATTGTAGGAATCCTTAAATACATGAGCCAATCACAGCCTGGCATGTGTGCAGTTTACGGACTACGGCTGTTTGAAAGGTTTTTTCCATAAAATTAATCGATTCTAGACTAATTTGACTCAACATTTCCAAAACAAGTATAATTTTTTGGGGATAATCCATATAAACTATGCTATAAACAAAAAATTGTAGGATTACTTACCGAGCGTGCACCGTTCAACGACGCAATTGCTTAAGCTTGTTTTTGTTGTGGAGCGGCGCACCAAACGGCGGGCGCATTTTCTGATAAGTTATTTTTTTGCAAAAAATTTGTTGAACTTTGGAGACATCATAAATAGAAATCATTTTTATGGACGTTGAATAAGAAATGTTTTTTTCACAAGAAATGTATAAAATTACAGTACTGTATTAGACTTACAGTACCTAATTTATATACTGTTCAGACGATAGTAAACTCAACTTACTTGCCTAAACTCTGTAGCGTGTAAGTAGTTTGGCTGCTCGTCCACTATTGGTCCAGATTCAACCAATCCTGTCACGACATGAGTTGGCGATGACGTTTTACCACATTTTACGAGTTCTTTTAGCGTCTTTATATGAATACGGTCGCAATTTTTTCACCACGATATACGAATCCACATTATATGAACCCGCGTTATAGGAGGGTCAACTGTAATTAACTGGATATGTTACAGAGTCAAATGCACAATATTAAAGTTAGTGAAATATATTTACTTATTAAAGTCATTTTACAGTTATATGTTTGATTTCTTTCAGCATTATTCAAATTTTGATAAATATAATATTTTTTTATCCTGTTGTTTTTCAATTTCTTTATTATTTTCTTCATTCTTCTGTATTTTCTTAACATTGTTTCTTAAAAATGCATAATTAATATTTATGTAAATATTATATTTACAATAATAAAGAAATTGAAAAACAATTAAGAATGAAGAAAATAATAAAGAAATTGAAAAACAACAGGATAAAAACAATTCTACCAATAAAACACATGAGGTGCAAAATGCTAAATTATCTAAGCCTGAACCTCAAAAATTATTAAAGAAGGACTATAACAAGAAATTTAAGTAAAAAGAAATTGTAATTTCAATGAATGTTAAAGATTTGAGAGAGAAAATTTTTTCAAAAATTGTGTAAGTAATAGTTGCTTAACTATTAATCATTAAAATTTGATTTATTTATTTATTTTATTTAAAAAAATATATTTACTATACAGAAATATAATATACATATTTCTGAGAAGACTTTTTTTTTATTAGTATTAATTTATTCACTATGTTTCTGAATTATTTTAGAAATTCAGAAATAGTTTTATTACATTGTCCATATTTAGCTTGTAAGCTAGGGCTGTTACGTTAAATGTATATACAGCAGAGCATCAATTTTCCAAAAGTCAATCATCCGAAAGAATTCCAGTCGGCAAATTTAAATTTTTGTCAGTGCTGTGGCGCTTCAATCTTAGGCTATGTCTTGGGCTACTCAAATATTTTACGTTTTTGATACTAAATTAACATCTGAAGTATATTTTTTTATTGTTTTTATATTTTTCAATATATTTATTTTGTTTGTACAAAATAAAAAAATAATTTTTAACNTCATAAAAAATGACTTTGACAAGTTCACTCTTCATTTTAAAGACTATAAGTATGTAATAATAATAATGATAAATGCTAAAATAAATTCAATAAAAATAAATATAAAAAATATTAATGTCAATAACATTTATTGATAGTGATTCAAAAGTCATAGTTCTCTGAGAGTTATTACATAGAAAAGGAGAAATTAATGGAAACTTATCAGCTTTTAGATACAAGTTTAAGTAGGAGTGTCTAATAATAATAATTAAAATGTGGATTGTTGCACAGATAATGAACAGAAGAGAATAAAAGTGTGAATTTGTATATGTATGTATGATGGGTTTAGGAAAATCACGACAGCAGATAAAATATGTCTATGGTAGGAAAAGGATTTTAAATTTTTCTAAAGATGTATGTTTAAACAAAGGAAAAGCTGATGAGTTTATAATTGCAAGTTAAAATTTCCAGGACAACCTATACTTATATTCAGATTGATTTTTAATTACTGCTAATCCATGAGATGTCTGTACAAAATGACAATGTATTTAATTATAGTATTTTTTTTGTAAACTTTACAGTAATTGTTCATTTTTTTTTGTACTGAAAATATATAGTTTTATGTATAAAATTTAATCTTTTTCAGATTAGATGAAGATCTGGATAACTCAAAATTTAATTTAATTGGACAAATTAGCAACAGTGGTATGTGGATTGTATCTTATGAAGATCATATTTTGGCTGTGAATCATTTTAGAGTGCAGGAAACAGTAGAATATTATCGACTTTTAGCAACACATTATTTTATTCTTTCTGAATTGGATTGTCCAATAATGTTATCCCAAAGGTACTTTTTGTTTCAAATCTACTTAATAAAAATTATTTATATCTTGTAAAATATGTAAATTAAAATATCATAAATATTAAAACTTAAAATATCATAAATAGTACACAATTTTATCATTTTATTATCACCAAAAATTATATCCAAACATTTCAATTGAGCATAAACAGAATAAAAAACATTCAGAATTTGAAGTATTCTATAATAAGAATAAAACTTTTCTGTTTTAAGTTATATTTATTTTAAATTACTGAAGTCAGTTCAGAAATAAATTTCAAATTTTTTCATAGTGTATTAAAGATTTTAGGTACAATTGTGTACATCACTAGCATGTAGTAACTGAAGTGATGAATACAGAGTGCATGAGTAACAATATAGACTCCTTACTCAAAAGTAATGAGCATGGAGATCATTAATGATCAGATCATCCAATAGCATACTGAAATTCTACTTTATTCGTTAATTCCTGCTCAGAAAACATATGAATATTTATTTTATTACTGTTTTCTAACTTGTTTTTATTTAATACTTAAATTGCATACAAATGCTATTATAATTACAGTAATATAAAATACATTTCTACACTATAAATTTTAAAAATGAAGCAAATAAATCAGACTGGCAATGACATCATCATTAGTTTTGATTTTGATAGAGAAACTTTGAAGAAAATATGAACAAAATTTGACAAATTCTGATATCCCGTGTATGACCTAGATGAAAGTAAATAACTGTGAAAGTCCTTACCACTATTTAAACAAAATATTGTAGAAAATATTGCAAACTTTGTAAGAAATACAAGTTTACACTCATTTTTGTTGACTGTTAAATATTGTTTAAGAAAGTTATTTCAAAATTAATCTAACCATATGTTTGTGGTTAGATTTTAGTTATGTTACATTTATTCTTATATTATTTAATATTATAAGATTTTTTAGTTTAAAAAATAAATTAAATATATATATGTTTTAGTTCATTTGGAGAACTTGAAATTTGGAATGCCTTATTTAAATTAAATTCGGAAAAAAACGAAGAAATTGGATATTCATTAATCACAGATGACAAGATTATTGCAAATGGATTTGAAATTAAAATATATACTGGTCTGTAATTTTTAAACTTATTATATTTGATAAGATTTATGAGTTTTTCTTTAATAGAGTTAAATAATACATTGATTTATAATATAGATACAGCCGAAATAGTAAGAATAACTAAATCTCTTCCATTTTATGGTATATCTGATTTAAAAGAAATCTTGCAAATAATTCACAAACAAGGCTCATCAATAAAATTAGAAAACTGCCGTCCTCAAAAAGTTATTCACTACCTTCAAGTAAGCTCTTTTTTCTTTTTATTAAATAATATGATTTGCTAACTCTATATTTCCTAATCTATATTAATTTAATATATAAAAGAATAACTATAAACCAATTTAACTCAAATTATTAAATTAAATATGTGTCAGAAAAGAAAATTCATATTCCAAGCAGTTTCATAACTTTTCTAATTGTTTTGCAAAGTTTGAAAAGCATTTTAAAATGTTTTGTTGTTACATGCTTGAAAAATAGACAAAACTATTTTGTTTAACTTAAATCATCTGTCGTGTTATTAAGCATTGTGCATTGTATTTGGTTAAACAATAAATTTTTATCTGTTTTTGTTTTTTTATTTACATATATATTTTTTAGGGAGAAGCTGTGAGAAATGCTCGCATTGCACCAGCGAAACTTCATTCTAAAGATATCAAAATATTGCTACAACAGTTAGAATGTTTGCCTTCTCAACAGAAATCTTGTTTACATAAAAAGCCATTTTTTCATTTACTGTACGATTTGAGTGACATCTCATTGTCACAGTCACAGTCACAGAGATAATCAATATTGTAAATAATGTAATTATATGTAAAATATCTATTTTTTTGAATAAAAGTTTTTCTGTAAACTAAATTTATAATTACAATGTACAGATGCTTATTTTATATCATAAACACATCAAAAGAAAATCACTGTAAAAAGTAAAATAGGGAGTAATTAGTGTAATGTATTTCATTACATTTCACAGAAATATCTTTGGAATTATAATTTGGAACAATTTCAGTATTAGACATTTCTATGTGGTTCTTTAGAATCTCAAATTGAAACATGTCTCCGAGAGCTACACATTCAACAATAAACACAGCAAACACATTCAACACAACCTAGTTAATCTGGAATTACCTGGATAATTATTATTATTTCGTATGCTTTTAGCATATTAAGCCATTAATAACATTTAAAAAGACAGTTTTAATTCAAACACTCCCCAGAGTGTGATGCTGTTTTTGAACACAGTTAAAGCAAAGCAGAAGTTCGAGAATGCATTTACTATGCAGTTTTCTCTGTAGACATTCGAAGGAGACTCGTCAAGTTTTTATCGAAAAATTTTCAATATGCAGTACTTATTCGAATTTAAAAGAAGCTGAACCTGTTTATGTGAAAAATAATAATTGATTTCATATTTTAATGTTTATGTTTTAGTTTACTCATTAGATCCAGCCTATACGTTGATTGCTAAAGCTTAGAAGTTTCCACCTGGCTTTAGGCTTTATATTAAGCTAATATTTATTAGTGTACATTATAACTATTATTGGATAATGTTTTATATTAAGCTAATATTTATTAGTGTACATTATAACATTATCCAATAATAGTTAATATAATTACAAAAATTTTAAATGGTATTATTCTTTTCGTAAGTTCCTGTAATTTTTATTTTTATGTATATTTGGTATGATTATCTGGTTATCTGCATATTTTTTTATTACATATTCTTAATAAAAATTTATTATATACATTTTTATATTTATTTTATGTATTGCTTTACTGTTGTTACAGGCTACTACTTTTTTTTATTCTTTCAATGTGTTACATTCTTTATACAGTTAGTAGTTCATCATTTTAATTGTATGTTCTAAAAATTTTTATAGCAAACAATGGATAAAAGTTATACATTTTCAGACTAAGAAATTCAGAGAGATAGAGATGAGAATAAACTATATAGTGAATTATTTTAATACCTAATGTAATGGGGTTTACCAAATACGTTGGTACAGGCAAAAAATGCATGTGGCCCACCGGAAGTCTAAGAAGTTCACTCGTCACTAGAAACTGTACGCTTTGAAGTCAACTCTTGTTTTAAGATGAACAAGTGTAATTAATGATGTCACATTGATGTAAAAGTGTGAATAATCTGGATCAAACATGTCAGAGATAAAAGCCCAAAATATTTCAAAATGAAACTTTTGCCTTTAATAGTTTGGCTAACAGTTCAATAAAACTTGTAAATATGTAAAAGTACTTAAAGAGTATTTCATAAAACTAGAATCAGTCGAAGATGTCATGACACTTGACTGCAAATATGAAAAAAGAACAGTGGCGTGCTGTGACATTTGATGATAGGGAAGCTGTGTTTCTGTAGCATGTGTAAAATACCCTTACCACATCTACCTTTTTTACATAAGTTAATGTTTTCATTCGCAGTGTGTAGCTTTTATTATAATCTCATCCTTACTATATTCACATTCTGTATTTATCATTGGAATGTGTATTATGTATGTTAATCCATTCCTGCTTTTTTTGTGCACATTCAATTTGTTCTATGAGAAATACTTGTAAAGTAACCATTTGGAATCTTTTTCACTTGTGTTTACTTTTGAAAAAATTTTTTGTGTATATAATTAACAAAAAATCATTTGAATACAAGTAAACAAATCATTACGAGAATTTGAATTTATATTTTATTGTCGAAGATAATTCAAAAGTAAATTGTTACAAGGGGCCTCTTCGGCCATCGGCCTTATCGACCGATGTTACCGCTTCCTGGGACGTGGACCCAGAGGTTGGAATTTGGTTTGTGTTGTGAAATGGAAGTGTGTTTGTGTTGTGAAATGGTGTTCTTTATAATGCACGTGAATGGAATCGTTGGTGATTGGATGCAACGAATGTGTCATTGTTTGCAATGTGTGTTTCAGAGTGAGGGATGCTGTTGTTTATGTGTGTGAATGTGAATTACTAAACTAATGTGAGTACGACAAGGGGAAAAAAATTAAAAACCCCTTGTCTTCTTACATCTAGATTAGTAAATTAAATTTAAGGTTTTAGTTCGAATGTTATATGACAAGAGGAAAAAAAAGTAAAAAATCTCTTGCCTTCTTATCCTACATTAGTAAACTGAAACTAAAACCTTAAATTTAAATGTTGTTAGTATGACAAGAAGAAAAAATAAATGAAAAAACCTCTTGCCTTCTTATCTTAGGTTAGTAATATCCTTCAGAAATAGTAAAAGGAAAAAGTCGTTCGCATCTCTTACAAAGCAACACTTTTTCTTTTGCATTCTTGCCCACACTGAACGAGAGGATCCCACTTGTTGGAAAAGGGAGGAATGAGCGAAACATTCCTCCCCTCCCAGTGCGGCAAAGACGATGTCGTCAACATGGAGACACTTCACTTTTCGGAACACGTCCGAATGGCGAAATGTCTCCTCTCCATTCAACGTGAAACAGAGAATGCTGTCGACACCTGCTATTCCCAAAGGCAATCCCGTGAAGGAAGAATCCCTTCCACAATCAATGGAAGAGAGTTCCTCTCCCCACTCAAAGGGGGAAAAGACCCTCTCTTCATCGATTGCGGAAGGAGAACGCCCTTCACACTTCTTCATCTTCTTGGGCTGCAGCCAATGCCAGAACCACCAGCTCTTCATTCTGTAAAGAAACAAAAATATATATATATATATATATATTAAATTAATGGGATTCAGATATGCTTAACACAGAAAAAGTTCAAGATTATACTCACAACAGAGCTGGCGCTAGATACTACAGGAAACTGCTAGAAGCATCTACTCCATTTGCAGTAGAGACGACAAAAGACACAGACCAACCCGAAACGAAGAAACTCTCTTTTTTTAAAGAAATGGGACCTAAATAGGGTATTGGGGGATGTGCTATTCTTTAGCACATCCCCCAATACCCTATTTAGGTCCCATTTCTTTAAAAATTCCACATATGTTTAGAACTAACTGTTTTGTTCTACCAATGAAACTCTCTTACATGTAATTTGTATTTGTAGGACAGAAAAGTAAAGCTATACTGCATGTAGTGCAGCCATGTGAAAAAGGCATTCCTATTCGATCGCGAGCCCAAGTCTAGACAAGTGTTTTGTTCTACAGCAATTTACCCTAACGTGTGCATACAAACAGTCCATCACCTAAACATAACGACGGCACTTAAAAGAGTTTCGTGCAAAGAAATTTCTTACAAGAGTCAACGAAAACACAAGGCGCGTCCGCAGCCGGGACACAAACGTTTAATTTCTAAAATATAATTTTTTTTTGATTTTTATATTTTTCAATATATTTGTTTTGTTTGTACAAAATAAAGAAATAATTTTTAATATGTTAGCCACGATTATTATTATAAAAATTTTTGTTAGGCTTAACATCGACGAAAATTCAACGCAAAGCGACACGCAACAGAGAAAAATTTAAACATGGGATATATTAATATACTATTATTGGGATATACTATATTAATAACGTATTTTTTCATACATAATCGGTTATCCAAAAAATTGATTTTCTGAACAACCCCAATCCCCAATTGATTTGGATAATCGACGCTCTACTGTAATTAAAAGAGAACTGAAGCAAAGATAATAGCTCAAAATGTATATTGCTAAGTTGAATAGATATAAGAATATTTTAAAGGAAAAAGAAAGAAATTTTGCATATTTACATTGATCACTGGAATGCAAAGAACAGATTTTACAACCAAAAAATTGAAAAGAAAAATATGAAATGTCAAATTTATTATTATTTTTAGCTTAATGAAGTGGCAGACCTCGAGAAACTGAGAAGAGTAATACTTGATGGATTGACTGTTCATTTTGCCTTTCCATTATTAAGACAAACAAAAAGTCTAATGCCTAAGGAATATGTTGAAAATAAAGAAAAATTCATACCTGCTGGTAAGAAAATACAAAATAATAATATGAAATGAAATATGTAAAATCTTTAATTTTTGTTTTTGAATTTATATTCGTTTCTTAATCTGGCAGTTTTTATTAGCAGAAATTTTTGTTGCATTTGAATTAATTTAAATATCAAATCAAACTTACTTTACAGTTTTTCTTCTATATTAAAATAATCATATGAGTAGAAACTAAAAGATAAAATTTTACAAATCTCTTTATTTTGTTTGTATCAGAGACAGTTCTTGTCAACAGGGACGCCAAGTATTATCAATTTTCTAAAATAATAATAAATAATGGTAGGACAGAAGATATTTGAATATTATGTTTTTTATATATGGCAGAATTTTATATTTTTGCATAGTCATAACTTCCTTGCTAGTAACAGGAAATTGTTTAAAAAATGTATAATAGAAAGTAAAGATATAATAGCTCCATAAAGTATATAAAGACTTTCTTTCTAGTGATGATCTTGAAAATCCATTGTCTAAAGTTAGAAATTTTTTTATTTAATTGCTACATAATCCTTACAACCTGATAAACTCTTTAAAATATTTAAATGTGTTTGTTCCCATTATTTGTGCAATACAAGTGGTTTTCACTTTTAGAAGTTAATTGGTTCCTAGAAGTTACTCATAAAGCAGAAGCTAATTTTTCATACAAATAAATACATAATGCAAAATTATGGTTCTGCATATGGAATTTTAGATAGGATAATGTTGAAAAATAACAAAAATTTTTTTTACTATTATATTTTCATTATAACAAAAATATTAATATCATATTTTTTAACATTAATTTATTTCTTTTCAAAGAAAAAAATAAACAAAATTTCCTCTTTAAATATTTTTAGTGGTTTACTACACCTATAACACTATACTTATGAAAATCAAAATCATATATAAAGACAGTGCTTGAGATAATAGCAAGGTTGATGCCGACGTTTTAAACGCGAAAACATGTACGTTGGACGTTCAGCGATGCTTTCCTGTAAGCCTAGAAGTTTGACAATGGTGTTTGGATAGTCAGTGGAATCATGCTCGACATTCCAAACGCCATTGTCAAACTTCTAGGCTTACAGGAAAGCATTGCTGAATGTCCGATGTACACGTTTTCGCATTTAAAACATTGGCCTCAACCTCGCTAGTGACTTTATGGCACGGATGTTGCAAACACTGTGTTTATATCCACGTATTCCGTTATTCAGCGAAACGTCAGCAAGATGTCAGCGCAGTGCTAAAACTCGTTCCATATTTTAGCTCGCTTGCAGCGCCATCTCAAAACGCTTACAAAATTTCGTTAGCGAGGTTGAGAAGCGCTAGCTTTTTGCTAAGACAACGAGCGAAGATGGCGGCACCATGTTTGACTATTTTAATTGAACTAAATAATCGAAATTTTCTTTTAAATATTGATGAAAAAACTTATGAAAGTTTTCGAACAGGTAAAAAAATAAATATATTTTTAACTTTTGTGTAGCTGAATGAGTTTGATAGGCGTAATTGTCTCTTTTCGTCTTCGTATATCAGATACGTCGACTGAATTTCTTACTTATTTGTATCTTGATTTTAGATATCAAGTAATATAATAATTAGCAATTGTAGAATTT